GGGTTTTTTTTAACGCTTGTGCTTAATTTACACTTTTATAAAGATTACCAAAGAGAGCCGGTGTAATGTTATTAGAAACTAATGGTGCAATTGCACCTCATTCACTTGGTAAATTATTTGTTTTATGAGTTTTATAGTTGTTGTATTCATCATCCTATGCTTTCGTGTATGTTGTTTATTATTTGCATTTGCTTGTTGTCTTTATGTGTAGTACGTCTAAACGCGCTGGTGTTTTTCTCCTTTTAACCGGTGGTTACATTGAACCGAATACTGAAGGTTAGTTCACATCTTTTCCTTCGTACACATCTAAGTCTATTTCTCATATATATTCTTTTGTGTCTTTTTGTATTTTACTAAGAAATATTGCTTTGTTTTTTTTAGAAGTATTTGAAGTAGCTTGTGAAATTGAACAAGATATTGTGATACATCCGTTTGCTTTTCGTACTCATGCTCATAAACTTGGTAAGATTTTGTGTTTTTGATAAGAAAATATTATTAACTATTTAAACAAAAGGTCTTGTGAATTCGGGATATCGAGTACGTGGTGAAGGTGATAATCAAGAATGGACAGAAATTGGTCGACGATCACCGCAATTACCACAAATGTTTTATCCAACTCAAAGTGATGTACCAATTAAACAAGGTGATTATGTTGCTGCAGCTTGTACAATGTTTAATTATCAATCACATGCTGTTAGAATTGGGTATGAACATTTTTATTATTTATCTTTAAATTATTCTTTTCTTTTTTTCTTTGTTTATAATTTAGTTCAACTGGAAATGATGAAATGTGCAATTTTTATATGATGTATTGGGTTAATGGTGATGAAGTATTAGAAAATGATGTTTGTACAAGTCTTGGACCTCCAAAATATTATTTTGGATATGATCGAGTATGTTCATTTTTTTTCTTTATATATATTTTATTTTATTTTCATTTTAACTATTTAGCATTTAAATGTGGAAAAAATTCCTGAAAATGCATTCCGTATTCCACCACCACCAAATGGTCCAGCTCCTGGTGAACCCATACAAGGTGGTCATCATATGACCATGCAACATAAACCAAAGTCACGTAAACGACAAAATCGTTTCAATTATATCTTTTAGAATGAAAAGAAATATTCTATTCTATTTTTAAATATCATTCATTTTCTCTTGACCTAATATTGAAATAATAACAAAAAATAATAAATTTACAGTGCAATAAAAAAAAAAAGAACAATGATTTTCATATGAGATTGATAACAAATTGAACAAAATGCTCTGTATAAAAATAGAGAAATATGTTTTTCTTTGTTCAAGATAGAAATTAACGTGTGATAATGACAGATGACTGTTAAATAATAAATATTTTCATATTGCATGTGAAAATTAACAGTTGTTCGTCTTTTATTTTTTAGTTTTACCGATAAATATTATATTAAGATAAGTGGATTCTATAGTTGAATGGAATTTTATGATTATTTAGTGAAAATTAGAATAATAATTGTTTTTCTTATCAACGGGAAATTTATTAAATATACTAACAGATTTTACAGATTTATCTTTTATTCGTAAAGGTTTTAGCGATTGACTCATGAATATTACATCATCATGTAGATATTATTAATAAAAAATACGACGTTTTGTTGATATATGATGGTAATCTTAACTAAAATCTAAAATATGAAATAATAAATGAAGAAAAGTACCAAAACCTTTAAAAATTTCCCTTCAATGTTTAGATCGTGAATAACATCGACTTCTATAAAGTTTGTTTATTTTGTATAGTCCACTGAAATTCCTAAGAATATGATTCGTGATCTTATGTAAGGAAAACAACTGTAGACATAACATTTTTTCGAGAAATACATTCTAAAAAGAGCACTGAAGTATAGACGCAGAAATTTTGGCACATCTCATTCTTTGTACAGACTGTGATAGGCAATCTAGCAACGGCAATTCCTCAACCATAAACCATGAACGACAATCTAACAGTATCTCTTTTCATCATAGATCCTGCCAGATATCTTAGCATCGCCGCTGTCTTACCATCGAACCGTGAGACATACTCATGAAAGCAAAGTCCTTCATACACTTATTATGAAATACAGTTGAATACAAAGTACTTATCATTTGCCTTCTTGTCGCATTCATTGTAACATATGACAATTAATATCTTTCATCGTCAACACAAATTAAAAGCGAGTAGTAATTCAGAAATTGAAAAAAATATGCTCGTGAACTCTTTTATTCAGAGTGTCAATAGTTCAAGCGTGTTTCATATTTTTATTCCATAGGGATTGTGCTAACAGCTTTACAGATCTTGTCAATTAGTCTGTATTGCTTCGAGACTTGAATTATGTTGTGTTTGAACATAATTTTACTTTGAGTACATAAAACACATCTTACAACTACGCCTACAACACTCCGTTACAAAGAATATATTTCATGATAATAAATAAATAATATTTATAATTAGTAATGAATTGAAATAAGGTTAATAGAAATAATGCAATGCCAAAAAAAAACTTGGCATGTATAGGAAATACTTGAATTATTGACAAATATTTTTAATAAGTCATTCATTTGTACCGATCATGAAAGGAACAGTACAATAATTATGAATTTGATCTAACGAATTCGAAACACATTTAAAATTCTATTACTTTAATCATTAATAGTTCAAGCTTTTTCATAGCTTATTCACTATATACTTAAATTCATATCGATCAAAATTGTTCAATTTCTTAAAATGCTACAAATGAAGAAGGAAGATTTTGCCTTTTTCAAACAAGTGTAAACTCTGCAGACCTCTATATGAATTTTTAAAGATTAGTATCCATTTTGTAGAAATCAAATCTTTTTTTCGAAACAGTAAGTATAAAGTTTAAGTTAAAGTTTTGTACTCTCACCTCTCGCTCCCTTCCAATTATATACTTTAGAAAGTACAGAAATAAATAAATCATTGTAATAGTGCTGTCACTCATAATTACGCAGGCAAAAATAAGATGTTTGCCTAGCGAAAAGTATTGATTGAAATTTTAAGATCAAAAACTGAAGTTAACAAAGGAAAGAGTATAGAACTAAAGTATTAATATATGCACCAGTAATAATCAGATCATATTTTGTTTTTGTTTTTTTCATCATAGTTAGTGCCCAGTTGCCATTGAGCAGGTAGCGACATGAAGACTTTAAAATGTTTTACGATTAGTTTGTTGATTTCTCAAAAAAATACCAGATATTTTTTAATTCAACAATACTAATAAATAATTAACCAACATATAAAAAGATTTTCTTTTTTTCTCTACAACACATATACTTTTGAAACAATTTTCTATATATGTAAAATTTGTTTTTTATTCGAAGTAATCCAATCATCAACTAAAGACTATAATTATTGATTTCTTCTTCTTTAACTTCGAATATGATAAGATTTAAAAGCATAAAGGTGTAGTTTGAGTCTCCTCTTGTCAAACACCGATAATCACACCCCATCAACATCTACACTAGACATTTATCTTACAACAAATGATGCTTATATTTATAAATAGCGGCAACCTGTGTTTATTTATCTATGCGTAAATATTAACAAATATTGTAGTTAGACAAGTATTTCTAAACCTTTCTGCCGTGTTACTACCACCCAACGGCAACTCCAATTGCGATTCTGTATTTACAATCTCTTGTTCAATTAATTCATATGAAAACTCGTAAAAGTATCTTACTCAATAAGAGTCGCTTGTATCAATATTTATAATAATAATCTCATAATCGTGCTTTGGTAATTCGTATATTTTAGACAGAGGCAGTCAGTATAGAAAATATATTTTTTATCAATCGATACCTAGGGAATTGTCTACATACAATGTGTAAAGAGTCTTTTGGTATCACGCGCTCGGCATTATTTGCAACGTTTCTAAAAATAGCAATTCCGATTGCCAATGGGTGGTAAAAGGGTAATCTAGGCAACATTCTATTTTTACACCTTAAAAAATCCATAAGAATTGAATTATACCGAATATTATTTTTTTTTAAATTTGATATTTTGTCAGTAATGTTGGTCACTGTTAATAAGCAAAGCAATCTTTCATTGTATAAACCTTTGATTAATTCACTGCATTTATTTCAAACTTCTAACTATATATCATTACATCAAAAAAAAACAAATTATACTAAATTATATGCTAGCTTATATGGAATATGTGAATTCCACATTTGAGTCCCGAAGGAGATGCAGTAACGAACTCTTACATCTAAACATCTCATAATTAATTTTAACTAAAACCTAATAGTTTTGTAGATATCATTGGACGAGCAATTATATTTACTACTACTTGATTCTGTGCACTAGCCAAACAGGTGTAACATCAAAGCTTCAAAATAATTGTACTTACAGCCATCTGTTGTTGATTAGTACGAAAATTTTTTGAATCGATAGGTTTGTGATACTATGATTATTTATCGAAATTTGATACCTGGTTGAAATCTTTAATTCTTTATCAATAGAAAAACTGCGAAACAAAATTTTAGACTATTCTGTATCATTTACTGTTAATAAGATAATTTCATTAATAAAACAGAAAAGAAATTCTTGAATTCAATATTTCTAATCTAACAGACAATATACAATGACATGATAAGCAAGTCAATTACAATACACATATGCATATGAATATTCTACACAAGTTTGTGTTTCTATCGTTTTTTTTATGCATTATTTGATGTTTCACTTATAATAAGTGATGTAAAATTGGTCTGGCTTCATCAAACACGTTTTCTGTAGTCATACTGATCCCAAGAAATGAAATGAAAAGCATTTATAGGCTTCTTATTTCATCACAAATGGGGACTGATTGAGGTATTTTAGTATAATTTGCATCATAAGAAATACTTTCTAGTATTAATTGATTCGTTGCATTCCTCCATCGTTACCTGGTTTTCTTTCTTTCGACCGGCCTATAAAAGATGTGCTGCATTCGATCGATATTGCAAGTAAAAGTATTAAAAACAATAATATGAAGGGATATATATTGTTGATATGGGTATGCTGCATTGTAGCATGTAGTCAAGCTGCATGGGTTCGTGTATGGGAAGATAATTTTGATTGGGATGGTGGTATTGATCGTAATAAATGGGAATACGACGTTGGTGGTCATGGATGGGGTTTGTAATTTATGTTTATTATTATTTTATTTTATTTTATTTTTTTAAATATAGGAAATAATGAGGAACAATTTTATACAGAAAATCGATTAGAAAATGCTCGTTGTGAACGTTTTCCAGGTAGTCCAAATGGTCGTTTGATTATTGAAGCACGTAAAGTACGATATAAGATTCCAATTCATATGAATATTTTCTTATTGTACAAGTTTAATTTTTATTAGGAATCTTATGGTGGTCGTCGATTTACTTCAGCTCGTTTGAAGAGCAAAGCTAAATGGACATATGGTCGTTTACAAATTCGTGCTTTACTTCCAACTGGTCGTGGTCTGTGGCCAGCACTTTGGTTGGTAAGTTTTATCTTTAATATTTCAAAATAATTTCTTCTATAAAAATGATATTAGTTGCCTGAAAGACAAGTTTATAGTAATGCCTATTGGCCTGATAACGGTGAAATTGATTTAATGGAACAAGTTGGTTATGATCCATTACGTATTCATTCAACAGTTCATACAAAAGCTAATAATCATATGTTAAATAATCATCCAAGTAATTCTGTTATTGTTGGTGATGCTACAACAAATTTTAAAATTTATACACTTGATTGGAATGTTGATAAAATTGAAATGTTTGTTGGTGATGAAGGTAATCCATTTCACACAAGAATTTTTGTTTGGAATAAACATGGAGATTGGACTACATGGTATTTTTATTTTTATTGTTTTTTTTTTCATTCGTTTTTTATCGAAATCTCATCATTATTTTTCTTTATCTTAGGCCCTTTGATCAACCATTTTTTGTCCTACTCAACATTGCTGTTGGTGGTTTCTGGTAAATACATTCTTTTAGACCGAAAAAAGACGGATTATCGCATTCCTTTTTCTCTGTTATTAGGGGTGGTGCACAAGGCATTGATGAAAATATTTTTCCACGTCGAATGGAAATTGATTGGGTTTACTATTATCAATGGCGCTAAATATCAACGTTGATATTTTTCTATTTTAAAAATCAATATAAATAAATAAATAAAACGAAATATATTTTCGTTTGATTTTATGTGTTTTTCTTTATTTTTATTTCATTAACAACATATTAAGTAAATAAGATAAAGTATATATATCTACTGTGCAATTAGAAACAATCAATATTGAGTTATATTTGTTTTTTCTCAATATTCTTTTTTTTCTTAATGATAAATATTTTATTTTTATTTTTTTACCTAAGTGTTTCTTGCCGTTTTATGATTTATAAAGAAAAAATTGACTTACTCTCTGCTAACTAGTGTAGAGTACTAATTATATGCCGCTAGAGAATGTCAAATTGACATGACAAAATATGTTATTCTTATTTTCTTTAAATAATTAGTCTTAGAAACATTTATTCTTATAAAGAAAAAGTTCAAGAAAAAAAAAAAACCTTTAAAATATCATCGAACATCAATATATTGAAGTTCAGGATTTCCGTTAATAATTATGATCATAATATATCATCACATCATGAAAAGAAATTATAATTTTAATGTCGAAAATCATGTAAAACCTTCAGTTTAAAGTGTAATATACTATGGAAAATCATTGGACAACACGACATATAGCGTGTTTTGCTAATCTCTAAATAAAAATCAACATGCATAGTTCACTCTAAAAGATTATATTCATTTACTTGATTAAAATAGAAAAAGAAATCATGCTTGACTTCTTTTTTTCTTCTAATAGTAAAAAATATTAAAAAAAAAATTTTTTTTTGTCTAACAACGCAGGTCGAATAACTTAATGAGCCCTATATTTAGATAATTATGCTCTAAGTTTTTTTTTTCTTCTTAGCGACCGGTGTTGTTTTTATTTTCACAAAGTTACTCCCTCAATTTGTTAGCTATTATTAATGTCTAAGAAGCTTTTTCTCTTTGACTGTGTTCAACAAAAAACATAATTTTCTTTTACTATAATAGATGCTCTTGTGTCTTTTTTTTTCATCAACGAAAGATTATATCCTGAGAAATACTTGGTAATTAGCTGCTTCCGGAAAACTATGAACGTATTGAAAAGCTAACATCATCATCAATCTGTTTGTCACAAATTGATACACGGAGAAGACAATTTTGTTTTTGTTTCTTTTCATTGTACGACCGGAGGAAAATGTCACATTCGAAGAGACATAATCAAATCTTTCAAATTCTGCGCCATCACATTCATCATTATCGTCAAGATATTGTATTTTCTGAATAAAGAATATGGAATGATGATAGAGCACGGCTTGTAGTCTAATGATTATCATTAAAATGTCCGAAATAGAAAACATTTTCATACATGCATATTCTTATATAAATATATATATATAGATAAGTCAATATGATTTTCCAAGAGAAACAATATTGAATAATTTATATAAAAAAAAAGAAACATTTCCCGTTTACTGTCGTTGTTGTATGTGTGCTATACCGAACGATAACAACAGCAAAAAATTTCTTATTATTTGTTATTGATTTTCTCTTTTTCTGCTTGTTGTCATTAGTCGGTATGTCTGTCTATTTGTTGTTCTCATAAATGAAAACGACGGAGTAACGCTGCTCAAGAAAGATAAAGATCCTGGCAAACAGGCAAAAAAAAAATAAGTGTGAGAGAAGAACGTTCAACTATAGAGAGCAGGGCGGTAATGACGAGTAAAATGTATTTAAATAAAGAGCAAGCTGTAAGACAACATACCGACATCAAACAGACAAGCTATTAATTAATCTTAAAATAATATTAAAATTTCTTCAGTATAATTCATTTAAATTTTTATACATGGAACGAATTCATATGCGTGGTCGACGATGGTCCGATGCTGTTGTTGCTAAGTAAGCACATTACTTATCATAATAATAAGAAAACATAGAAGTTTCATATCATCTTTATTGTTTGTTTACATCTATGAGTAATCTACAAGAAAAAAGAATTAACTATGATTTTGAGAAAACGTTTGTTTTTTTTTCTTTTAACCAAAACTAAAATGAATTTGAAAAAAAAAAAAAACCTATGAAAAGAAAATTTTCTTAAACAATAGAATTCAGATTTTATAAACTAGAAATATTGATTTTTTTATTCTACCAAAATTTATATTCTTCTATCGAACTTATATATATATATATTCAAAAATTCAAGTATGGAGTTTTTACTAGTTTATTTTTTATACATTGACATAAATGAATATAAACATTATTTTAACTGAATCTTTTTAAGAATATTTTCATTTCTAATAACCAAATTGATGTTACAGACAAATATATAAAAATAAATATTTTATATGCATCCCCAATCTTACTTAGATGATCATAAATGTTGTTCAGTTAAAAGAAAAATGCGTAATTACAGTTTCGAGGTCTATATATATGTGTCTCAATTGTTGATGCGAAATAAAAAAGTACTTCATCAATATTAAGATGAATAGATAGAATACTATATTGACAAGACATCCGCTTCATTAGATGAACAAATAATTGTCTTTCCAAGCATAAGGATTAAAAAAATTGTTTTAAACGTCTTCTAAGATGATAGATGAAAAGGTGTTTTTCTATTTGAGTATTTTTTTTCAATTTTCTTGAATGTCAAAGTGTAATAACTTGGAAGTGATTAATTGCTACACATTTTCTAGCTCAATAATTGAATTGAAATAAGAAAGTTCCTGATTACTTCAAGGACTTTTTGTTCATTTATTTATATTCAAATAAGCGGAATTAAATGAATATAAAATAAATTGTATTGTCTTTAATCAAAACCAGACGTTCTTTTTTTTTATTCTTTTCTTTTTTTTTTTTTCGTATGCTATTTATTGCACTATATATAATACTTAATGTTTTTCTATGATTAATTTGTAATATTTCAATAAAAATTTTATTTTTCAAACTTCAAAAAATTTAAATGTATCTCAAATAAATTAGCAAAGCAAAGATATCTTAGAAATATAATTAAAAACATATATTTTAGAAGAAGCCTTAAATTATTTGTTGTTTTTTTTGTATTTAACATCTGAATAAAATTATATTTTATCTTTGAGTATGGATCAAATAAGAAACAATTAGTATTTACATCCTTTTCATATTTTATGAATTTTGACAGAATAATATAGATATTTTCATTAATTAAATTATTTGTTTTTTTTTCACTTATAAGGATAACTTATTTTTTCTAAAAATAACTAATATTAAGAAATAGAAAATAAAAGAGTTGCTTATTTGTTATGATATAATCTTTTATATGAATTTCATATTAAATATTTCATTTATTCATCATTCTCGTATTGACGTTTTCTTTTTTTTTCTATATTAAAAATTGATTCTTTACACATTTTCTCATAGAAATAAACAATAAATTAGCTACGTCATTCTTTTGATGCGGAAATCTAAAAAAGAAAAATTATCTCAAATTGTTCAATATTTTATTATTTTTCTTTTTTTAGTAGATCAAATAAACGAGCTTAAAATAACGATACTTAATGACAAAATTTATCTAGATAAAATATTAATTTAGCAAGCAAAGTTAATCTGTGTGTGAGTGTATATTTGCTACACTGAGAACTAAACCATGTTTGCTTGAGTGGAATAGAAAAATACTAGAAAACAGAAGCATGCCATCGTGGATAATGCTCCTATTAGAATTTCTCTGACGTTAATTTAAATAGATAAGAAAACTATTATTGTTATAAGTGCTCTATTCTATTCGACATAAAAACAAAATCCATAAAACTATTTAAAAAAAATATGAAATAATTAGTAAATAGTAAATCATCTAAAGTAATTAAACCCCCCAAAATAGACGGCCACCCTATATTAGAAGGCCTCCCCCCTGTATAAGGCCATGTCCGAGCAAAAGTTCAAACGCCCTATTAGAAGGCCACGTACTAATTAATTAATATATTCCAAAATTAATGAAACTTTCATAAATATTAATTAATAATTAAGGAAAATATAACCGATTTTCTAATATTTTTTTGCGAAATCCTTCCTTTCCTATCATAAATAGTACAGTTTATACAAAAAATGGTAGTTTTTTCAGCAAAAAACATCTAAAAAACAATAATTAAAGATATTAATTAATTATTAATTTTTTAAATTATTTTAATTAAAAACTGGTCAAAAATTGACCCCCAATAGAAGGCCATCCAAAAAGTAGCGATGTGCCAAGACACTGTATAAGGGCATGCCCTTTTATTCTGAAG